TAGTAATAGTAATAGTAATAGTAATAGTAATAGTAATAGTAATAGTAATAGTAATAGTAATAGTAATAGCAATAGTAATAGTAATAGTAATAGTAATAGTAATAGTAATAGTAATAGTAATAGTAATAGTAATAGTAATAGTAATAGTAATAGTAATAGTAATAGTAATAGTAATAGTAATAGTCATACTCAATACTACTTCAGTCTTGTAATAATGTCAGTATTACTGTACCTGCATGATCATATGTGATTTGCTTCTGACTTAGGGTCCGGAGCAGAAGCAAACAAAGATGGTTCCATTAGGGTATTGGCCTGCAGCAGGCCAATTCATGCCAATTTACTTGCACTGGTCTGTTACCTGCAAACAAAGATGGTGTATTGGCCTGCCACACTGGTGATCCAACCCAAGAGGTGTCCAAAATATCGGTCCAATGGGTGGTGTGCAAGAACTCACTAGGGAAAGAGGGGAGAGATGGGGAAAGTCAGTAGGAATGCTGGAGTCAGCCTGTAGCTGAGCTATCAAAAGTCAGTATGCAATAATTGGAGCTCAGTGTCCATCCAGTCCAGTCACAATAAGTCAAGTCAGAATCTGCTAAGTCAAGTCAAGTCTGCTAATATACCAAGAATTGGGTCCATATAATGCTATCAGAAAAGGGGCAGAATAAGCTAGATACAGGAGTTTCTGGAAACCACTTATACTAGCTAATCTAAACTGTACTCTATACTAAACTGGTCTCTGGATACCTCTCTAAGGCAAGCATTGGCATGCCGAATATCTGGGTGGGTTGATCCCATTGCAGAGGAAACCCACCATCATCATGCCGAATATCTGAGTGGTCCCATCGCCTGGGAAATCATAGTCATTGCCATGCTGAATATCCAGGGGAGTTGAGACTCGTCACTGGGGTGCATTGTCCTGTGTAGTGAGGGTCTATAGTGCTGCGCAACAGTCTCTAAGGCCCAAAAATAGCTGTGGGAATATCGACCTGACACATCCTACTGGAGGTGGGGTTGTTCACCAGTCTGTTACCTGTTACAATCTCCACTTTTACTTTGAAAACACTGGGCTGTTACAAGTTACAAAAGTATATGTTCATGCAGGTACAGTATTGTTAGGGAATGTGCAATTCTTAGCACACAAAGAGATGTGAATTGCCTTGCAGATCACCCAATACTATGGATGGATGCTGATCCAACCCAAGAGGTGTCTGAATATCCATGGTCCAAATATGTTGGTCTGATGGGAGGTGTGTCAGCTCTTGTTGCTGAAGGGGTGGTAATTTGGGAAGAGCACATATGCATGTTTGGTCATTCAGTCAGTCAGTCAGGTAGTCAGTCGTCAGTATTAACCAAGTGATTTGCAGTCAGAAATTGGTATGTGAAAGTCAGAAGTTGGTCTCAAAGCAGTTTTTCAGTCAGGTGTTCTTCATGCCAGTATAGGGCACTGCCTGTTACCACCCCTGGCCACCCATTTTGCCCTAGGAGCAATGAAACAACAAGCCCCTGGAACTTCCTGTGCTGGTAACTGCCTTAGGATGATGGCAGTGGCCACACAAGACATTGTGCAGAGGACACCACAAGACTGCTGTGTCCAGACACTTGGGGTGAGACATAGCAGTGCTAAAGGCCCCTCCTGGGAGTAGTGGGATGCAAGATGACACTTGTAGGAGTCTCCACAATTTATTGGAAAGGTTTGGGAGGCCCAGGGGTGTTGCTAGAATGTCTATCTGACACTTGTAGGAGTCCCCAGAATTTACCTGGACTCCTGGGCTTTTGGTGAACAACTACAAGGTATATAAACAGTAGTACAGTGATGCTGTATCCCTCAGATTTGATCTCTGAGGAGACTCCTTAGTCTACAAGCAGTTTCTAAGTCATCTCATCATTGTCAGGGCACACCATTGAGCAGAGGCCAAACACAAAGGTTTTGGGCAAAGCTTCAACCTATTGGGGTGACCTGACTGCCAAACAACCACTAATCATCCAAAAGCCTGACATCAGACCTCTCGGTGGTCCTTGCATGTCTGCTTTGGGATCTCTCATGGTATTGGCCATGTTAGCCACATGGAGTAGTGAGAGTGATATGGGAAGGGGGGTCAATAGTCCCAATAACCTTGACAGTCAACCATGCTCAGTATGTTGCACAAGTTGGTATGGGAGAATTGGCAGTGGTAGTAGGAGGGATGTTGTAGTTGACCAGTATTGAGGTCAAACCACAAGCTATTGGGAATCATGGTTGACTGTGTCAGGGCACCAGCTCATTGCTTGGTCAAGAGACATGACTAAGCCTTTATGACATGGAAGTAGCTGGTATACCTTGGTATGTGCTGGAACCTGCTGGAAGGATTGGATGGTCAGGTAACCTGCTGTGCATGGCTGTGCATGACCTCATATGACCTCATCCTTGGTCATATGACCTGATCACCTGACTAGGCTGAGTAAGCAAGATGTTCTAGCAGGTTCCACCACAGAGGTATAAATATAAGGCCTACTCTGCC